GTGTGCCAAAGAAGGGTGGAATGACGGTAGTGACCAATGCCAACAATGAATTGACTCCTACTCGGGAAGTTACGGCTTGGAGAGTGTGTATGGACTATATAAAGTTGAATAAGGCGACAAGAAAAGATCATTTCCCACTCCATTCTTGGACCAAATGCTCGATTGTCTTGCCGGCCGGGCCTTTTATTGTTTTCTAGATATCTACTCGGGATATAATCAAATTCTCATTTCCACGGAGGATCAGGAGAAGACAACCTTTACATGTCCTTATGGCACGTTTGCTTTCTCGAGAATGCCATTTGGACTATGTAATGCCCCGGCAACCTTCCAAAGATGTATGATGGCAATTTTCACCGATATGGTGGAGGATATCTTGGAGGTCTTCATGGACAATTTCAGCGTGGTGGGGGATTCATTTGAGGAATGTTTGGTGAACTTGGATAGGGTGTTGGAAAGATGTGAAGAGACCAACCTTGTGCTCAACTGGGAGAAATGTCACTTTATGGTGCAAGAGGGTATTGTATTGGGTCACAAAATCTCAAGGCAAGGAATTGAAGTTGATAAGGCAAAAATCGAGGTTATCTCAAGGCTCCCTCCCCCTACTTCTGTCAAAGGAGTGAGGAGTTTTCTTGGTCATGCCGAGTTCTACCGGCGATTCATTAAAGTTTTTTCAAAAATTGTGAACCCGCTTTGCAAATTGTTAGAGAAGGATGTCAAGTTTATCTTTGATGAGAAGTGCATGGAGTCTTTTGAGCTATTGAAATACAAGTTGACCACAACTCCTATCATCACCGCACCTAATTGGGATTTGCCTTTTGAACTTATGTGCGATGCGAGTGATGTGGCGATAGGTGTGGTGCTAGGCCAAAGGATCAGCAAAATGTTCTATCCTGTGTATTATGCTAGCAAGACGATGAATGAGGCGCAAAGAAACTACACAGTGACGGAAAAAGAGCTATTGGCTATTGTGTTCGCGACCTTATCTTATGGGGGCGAAGGTGATCATACACACGGACCATGCAGCCCTCCGGTATTTGGTGACTAAGAAGGATTCGAAAGCAAGACTGATGAGGTGGGTGCTACTCCTTCAGGAATTTGATTTAGAGATTGTGGATAAAAAGGGAAGAGAGAATCAAGTTGCGGACTATTTGTCCCGGTTAGAGGAAGAGGGGAGACCATGTGATGGTATTGAGATTAATGATAGTTTCCCCGACGAGCAGCTTCATTCCGTTTCTACTTGTGATATGCCATGGTTCGTGGACATCGCCAACTTCATTGTGACTGGTAATGTCCTGTGTGAGCTCTCTTCCAACCAAAGGAAGAAACTCAAGCGGGATAGCTTGGATTTCTATTGGGATGATCCGTATCTGTTTAAAATTTGCATGGATGGGGTGATAAGAAGATGTGTACCGGAAAGTGAACAAATGAACATATTGGAGGCTTGTCACTCTTCTCCCTATGGTGGCCATCATAGGGGGGTGAGGAGGCCTCAAAAGTTTTGAGTTGCGGATTCTATTGGCCGACACTTTTCAAGGATGCTAGTGACTTGGTGAAGAGATGTGATGCATGTCAAAGAGCCGGCGGTATTTCCAAGAAGGATGAGATGCCCCTCAATACAATTCTCGAGGTGGATATTTTTTATGTTTGGGGCATCGATTTCATGGGTCCGTTCGTGAGCTCTTGTGGTAACACTTACATTCTCGTGGCGGTGGACTATTTCTCAAAGTAGGTGGAAGTCGTGTCTCTACCCAACAATGAAGCCCGAAGTGTTGTAGCATTCTTGAAAAAGAGTA